TAGGAAGGAAATTGGCGGCCGGTGTCCGGGTCCGGGCGTGGCGTGGCGGGAGCGGAGCGGAACAGGCGGAATGAAGCCGATCATCACAGCCGCGTAGGAAAGGGATCTCTATCGGCGCTACATCGCGCTGTACGGCGTGTGAGGCGTGTTGCTCGGGCACTCGCTCCGTCGAACATTGCCTTGGCTCCATGTAGAAAATCCGTTGAAATTTTACGTTTTTTCATTTTTTTCATTTTTTAAAAATCTTTTTTACGCCGACAACTTTTTTTGTTTTGTCGGTTTACACGTAGTTGCATTGTTCCTTTGCTGGTTATTGTGCCGATAAATTACAATAACGTCACCTGGAATGTTTTTAATTTGTATGCCGATTTTATTTCTTTAACTTGCCCGAAGGCCTTCTGCGTTTTCACGTCCCGCCCCTTGAGGCGTACTTTGCAAAGTCAATCGGCAGTGTGGGCTAGCGGCTCCCCCCGGTCTCTGCGCAGCCCTGCCCGCCCGCCTGCAGCGGCGGCCCACCCCACCCTCTTTGGGCTTATTATGACCTAATCTAGACCTAATCTAATCCTAAGACTACACGCGCGGTTCCCGCCGGTCCCCGCCGGTCCCCGCGCGCCCCGCTTGGGCCCGGGTGGCTGGGAGGATCCATGTGTGATCCCCTCCCCACTCCCCCTCTGGGCCGCGCCAGAGCGGCGTATATGCCGGCACTAATAAAATGGGCTCCGGTCCCAGGGGCCCAGGGGCACGAGGGCGGCCGGCCCCGGGTGCTGCGCGTGCGAGCGTGTGCGCCCCCCAGAATTTGATTTTGACACGTTTCCCGCCCCTGATCGAGGTGAAACCTGGGCGCGGGCAAGGCCGCGGGTCGGAGGCTGACGGCCGTTTGCCCAGGAGTCGTCAGGTTTCCCGTTGGCCGACAGTGCGGTGCCTCTTGTGGAGGTCTCTCCCCGCTCCCGCTTGTGCAACGGGCTGCAGACACGGCGCAGAGGGACTAGTGCGCCGTGCAAATGCGATTCCCTCCCGCCTTGTACATGAGAATTGACTCTGGCCCATCCTGCAGGGATAATCGCGAAGTGGGGCGGGTCCCATTCCTGTCCCCCGCCTCAGACTCATGGTCTGCCCCTCTCCAATCTCGCTCGGGATGGGCTCCAAAGCAGCGCCGAGCAGCGCCAGCAGCCTGCCTCTCATCCCGATTCCCATCCTTTTCCCGCTGATGTAGTGATGGATTCTTCTCTTCTTCTGGCGGGGGTGTTACCGTCACCACTCAGTGCAGTGGGTTTTGTTTGCTTAACAAGTTGAGCGCGGCGGGGGTAGGCAAATCCTATGTTACTGAGACCCATGCTCTCGCCGCACCCAACGTGTTAAAAAAGGCGCCTGAGTGACGTAGGGTAGGCCTGCCCGCAGTACGCGCATGCACTACAGGCACGTAGTTGCCTACCTATCAGGCGCTCTAAAAGCTTGCCTTCGGCGAACTTTGCAGTTTTGTAACCGTGTATGACACACTTACTTTTTATTCCCTGAGGACTTCGTTTTCAAGTTTTGAATGCACTGGTAAAACAAAGGCATTGAACAACGCCTTTAAAAGGCGCTATTAAAGTTTGCCGCCTTAGAAAAGGCACTAAGGTTTAACGCCTCAGGAAAGGCGCTAAATTATTGGGGGAGTTCAGAGGTTAGCGCCTTTGATAATTCTCGCTCTATATAATTTATTATTTTAAAAATTGAATCCGTATTTATGTTTATATTGTCAGGATTTGACAATACGATGTCCCAAATCATGTTAATTACTTGTCAACAAATGTGTTTTGAAAGCCATGACTAATAACTTTTAGTCTAATAAGTATTGGACTTCACTTCTACATGGGAAACCAAAATCAAAACATTTTTCGTCGTAAATTAATTACTCACATATTTTTGAAGATCATGATGGGTGTGGTGGCTTGCAGTCATTGTATATTTACATTTTGGTAAGGAGGCATGTAACACTCTGATGTCCAACCAAAATTTAAGGTAAATGAGGAAAATTTGCCAACTTGGGTGCTGGGGTGGAGAATAGACTACTACTGCTGGTCTAAGCCTATAGGTTAAGTGCCTCAGCTATTTGACAATCAAGTATGAAATCCACGCACTGACACGCTTCGTCTTTCACGTCTTTCCCCCAATAATTTAGCGCCTTTCCTGAGGCGCTAAGGTTTAGCACCCCAGGAAAGGCATGAAAATGAGGCTTTGATTTTAGCGGAAAGGCGTTGTATAGCGCCTTTGTTTTACCAGTGTGGTTTTTAATGCACAACATGTCGACAAGCATAAATCCAGAGTTAAAATTTCCATTGGCAACTTTAAACTTTTTGCGATATCAGCTGATTGCTGAAACAAAGCGCTAGCACGGATAGATTTTGAAAATTATCAAAGGACGGTGGAAATTTAACTGACAACTTCATCGTAAAATCTACGAATTTTTTTTAAACAGTGATGTTTTGTAGAGTACGAATAAGCTTGTATTTTAAAATTTGCACCCCGAACAGTTCGGAAAACTTGAAATCCAAACTGTTTGGAAACACAATTTTCGAAACTATTTGGAAAATTCCAAGCTCTGTGGAATATTTTTAAAAACTTATGACTACATATCTAAGTATATTTTGAAATTGTCATTTTTGTTGTTACTAAACTAGTGCTGGTGTAAAATGGTCCCTTTATTGTTTTTCAGCTTGTTCAGAAATTTCATAGAAGAGGAGTAGATTTTTGCCCGACGTTTTGGAAAATCGTGTTATGGAATTATTTACAGAATGTTGTTAGAAAATTCCGACTTCTGTTTACAGTGTGCAAAGAATTCTTTGTGATTTGAAAAGTAAATGCTTTGTAGTTAACTAAGCATGCCCATTGCCCAGGCCTTACAGAACACATCAGTGCACACTGTGATTTGAGATTCATTCATCAAATTTTTCTTATCTGGTTTGCTGTACAAATATCTGTTCTGTATCTCCTTTAGTGCGCAACCAATTAGATACCAAAGGTCACACAAATTGTAGGGAAATTTGATATGAACGGAAACCTTGGTCGCTTACATCATCCTTTTTGTGTGTGTGCCCCACTCTTAAATTTTTTGTCGAAAATTTACGACACTTTTGTAGTTAATTTTGGGAGCTTGAGCTTGGCTTGTACATAAACAGTCAATGTCGTTCTTTGATAACAAATTTGTCGTATCATGACCGTAATAGCATTATACAACAGCCATTGCGTCGTTATTGTACAACCTTCGTTATCCAGGAACGCGATTGCCTGATAATATACAAGCTACGCTGCCAACAAAATAAACTACAAAAGTATCTTAAAGTTACGACAAAATTTTTACTAGTCTGAGTTGAATGTATAGTTAACTGGCGATGGTTAACCCTGACTGCTATCGCTATATTCTATACACTGTAAAAAATATTCTGAAATTTAAGACCAAAATGTATCTTAAATTTAATAACATTTTCAGTTGTTCTTAAACGTAAGAACAAATTATGATATTTAAGAAGTTTTCTTAATTTTGCAAACCAGGTTATGAAAATTCTGATAAGGGTAATTAAATTTTATAACAAGTTTATTAAATTTAAAAGATTTTCTTAGTTTTAAGAAGTGTTCTGAATGCTAGTATTAAAAGTAAGAATAAGTGTGACTTTTCAAAACAATTTTGTTAAAAGTCATGCAGCTTCCGACCACTGGACATAGAATTTTGGTGTTCAATATAGAATTGGATGAACATCATCAAATTAGATAAGCGAAATGTAGCTATGCCAGAGCGAAATGTCAAAAAAACGAGTTAACAAACATACGCCGTCCGACCAAGCACATAGCTACTCTGGGAATGCCCCTGGACGGAGCGCCGCATAAGGTCGGGTGCGATCGTTCCCTGCACAGGTATGTCCCGACAGCCGCGCGGTCTAAGGCGTCAGGATCCGAACCCAAAGGTCCGAGGTTCGAATCCACCCAGGTAAGTTAAGGTAAATAACTATAATGTGTACAAAGTCGGGTTTGAACATCTGTCCGTAGGAACAAGATCTAAATATTTTCCAGTTTTGCGTTAGGCTAGAACAGTAAAGCATTTTTGTCGTTTCATAACACGTTCTTAATTTTCAAAACATGTTCTTAATTTTCATAAAACATTTGTTCTTAAATTTAAGAGCAAATTTGTTTTGTAAATTGCTTCCAAACACGTGTTCTTAAAATTAAGATGGATTTTTTTTACAGTGTATCCATTCTATACATATGCTATTCATGTGTACAGCACTGATACACTGTTAGGCTCTTATAGACAGTTCTAAGTTTGTAACTGCTAGTTACGCACATGCAAGTATAACAGTTGTTCACCGTAAAATTCTTACAAACTAAATGCTTTGCGCGTTACGAACAATTTTCGTTCTTTGTATTGCTAAGAAATCGTTTGTATTGCAAACCTATTGTTTGCAAGGCTAGGAAGGTTCTTACAAGCAATCGATTTGCAGTACGAACTATTTGTGCGTAAGCCATTAACAGTGTAAGTGTTGAATTGCCTGATGCACACTTACGTGTGTTTACCGGTCGAATATACTTTCTCTACTACAGAAATAAACTGATTAAAAAAATTAATTGAAATACATCTAATACGTCGCGATGTTATGGGTGCGTGACCTACTCTTACCTAGTCTTTCATTTCCGTTGCGGTTGGTCTTCATGCATAAAAATCAGCTTCGTAAATATTTTTGTAATATGGTGACTTTCTTGAAGAACTAAATGTAGGCGTCCGATTTTTTTGTCTTCTAATTTCTTTTGCAATCAGTGGAACAATTGCCACTTTGATTACCTTCGCAACTCTTTCAGACTAGCTATGTGTATACAATGTTGTAGATCAACCACATCCGTACCCTTAGGTTTCCATCTCCAACAGGTGTAAACATACCTTCTGGTTTTTGGAACTCGTGTAGTCGTGGTGATAGATGCTTTAATTAAATGTTATGCTAATGGGTCTAATTTGTTTGTTTTTCAACAGGTGCACGCCGGGTCGCGCGGCATAGGCAGATTTGCAGGGCCCATGACGTCGGCGGGGCATATTTCCTTAACAGCACGGATCAATGTGGGACTAATGCATCAAATTCGCGCCCAGTGACTGAGCATCGAACTGAGTCAGTGGAAGACGCAAAGCAGCAGGGGACTTTAACTCTCCACGTAGACAACAGAATCGTCGTGGGTAGTGTATCCCCTCCCACGCAGGTCTTCAAACCGTGCATCGCAGTGAAGGATGTTGTGTCAAGCTGCGCCCCACGTGCTCCACTGTTACGTGCCATTCCTTCAGGTACTGCTTCGTTGACCGCTGGCCCTGAAACCTCTGACTTTTCCCAAGTAACAACAGACCTTGGTGAAGAGCGAGTTGGCTGGTGCTTCACATGCGGTGAATGCTTTAGCTCCTGGGTTGAGTACGTCAAGCACTACGTTATGAACCATAATATCTCTAAAACGACAGTGGTGTGTAAGCTTTGCAGCGGACGCATTTCAATTAAAGCCGGAAAAGCTCATGATCTAAATCACAGTAAAAGATTTAAAAAAAAGAATTTGCACTGCAAATTCTGTCAGGCTCACTTTACAAGAACCAACGGTTTAAAACTTCATCTGCTCTCCTACCACAGAATGTCTGGAGATTCAACTGCTATTAAAAGTTGTGAGCCAGCTGTATCTGTGAATGCGTTTACCACTACATCAGTGCCGATGCCACCGACTGTTGCGTCTGTTATGCAGACTTGCTCAGCTCCCTGCTCCAAGGTGGCTCTGAATCCTTCTACAGTCCCTTTTGTGAAAACAACTTCGGCAGCCATTACTGGAAAATCAGATGCCCCAAGATCAGCTGGAATTAACCTAGGCGAACCTAGTTTGAGATAAACCCAGACAGATGAGCCGATCCCAGATGCAAGTATGAAACTAGACTCGCAAAATATTTCCGAAAATAAAAATATTCGGTCCAATGTGGTTGGGTTTTGTTGGATTGCGAAATGCAAGGAGATATTCTCTTACTGGGAAGACTTTTGCAGATACTTCATCCAGTGGCATGCCATAGGAAGTGCTAACCGATGTTTGCTGTGCCTTGTTGTCGGCTCTCAAGACCTCGCAGAGGAGCATAACGGCAACGTGGTTGGAAGAGACCATAAATGTCTATACTGTTCTGCAACGTTGCTGACTAAAGACAAGCTAGTAGCACATCACAAATTATACCATCGACTGTGAAACTAAAATCTAATAATTTCCTGCTTCCGTATTTGTATGTAATCTTGAATGTTTCCGAAATAAATGATTTACCCTTTCGTAAATGACGAATGAATGTATACATTTTCTCCTATTATTCTGCCCTTTTCGTCAGCTGTTCTTCAACAGGGACCAGTAACTAAGCGTTTTTGCGTCACAGTTACACAGATGAACTTGTCCACCTATACCTTATACGTTACTGTCACGTAACTTAACTTCAGACTTAATGTTACACGTTATTAAAGTAGTAAGCTGTAAATCAAATCATTACACCGTTTTTTAGTTCACAGGGCTAGGTATATCTTTCTAAATCAATTCCATTAAACATTTTGTAAAATCTTGTATGGCAGCGGAGATAATGCGTATGTAACGAACATCTCCGGTAACGTTCCAGTTTCAGCAGGTAACATAGTTCCGTTACAGTTATTGTAACGTAACAAATCAAATTCATTTTAGTCAGAACACACGTAACGTTACGCTAAACGCAAAACTATAACGCAGTTTAGAATTAAGTTATTGGTCCCTGCTTTTCAACTTAATTTAAAACTTAGTAAACAGGGGGCCCAACACAGTGTACGGGGTGCCACGTCATTGGATTTTAGTTTTGATTACGTGACTCTCAGGGTACCGAGAGGGAAAACGTCCCTGCTCCTGTATACATATTTTGACGTTTCGAGGCACCCTACACCTATACTGTGCGGTTTCGAACATCACACTCCAAATCTTAAGGGCCTTTTTTTTATTCCTAGGCAGATGCGATTTGTGCACATCCCGACGAGATGAAAATTTGTATCGACCAAGGGACGAAGCAGCATCTTACCGGTGGACAGTGTTTCTTTTTTTTTTTTTTTGTCTGCAGTAAAAGCAAATCTGTCACTTGCCTGATTCCAATTTGCGTTTTGTTGCGATGCGCATTTAAAAGTACCTTCCTAGGAACAAAGGAAGTCCTTTCAGATAGTTATCCACCGTATTTGGTTCTATACTACTGTTCTTTCTGAAAAGAACTTTGTCAACTGGGAGAGGATAAGGGGAGGGAAGGGGCGCAAATACCGATGAGGTAATTTGTGAACGCACCCTTTGTATATCAGATAACTTGCATGTGCATGTTTTTGTTTTAAATATAGTGGCTTTGTAGTGATTTCATTGTTGAACGTCTAAGTACTTAATTTGTGTGCCGACAGATCTATATCAACCCGGTGAACGCAGCATTCAAGATTTGCAGAGCTTCCGAATCGCCGCAGATTGCATCGTAATACCTTCTGACAGTTCTGATTCTTCTGAGGCTGGTGACGTCATTGAAGTGGAAATGTCCGCAGAAAGACTGTTTTCAGACGATGAACTTCCCATGAGTGACACTACTGTGCCACCCGATGCTCAAGAAAGACCGGCAGATATTTATGAAACTGATGTAACAGAATCCGTGGATGGGGCCGTTGGTCTTCAGGATACGCAGTTGTCGAGACCTCGAATCGCAGTGAAAGACATGTTTCGGTTGAGCGCGTTTGGACCGCAGTCTGCTTTGCTACGAGCTTTGCCATCGGATCACTCCCCATTGGACAAAGATGCTTCTAGAATTCCTGACCCTGATACTGTGCCGTTAGTAATAAAGAAGGTCGCGTCTAATCTTGCTGGCTGGTGTGCAAAGTGCACACAACGCTTCCCTAAGTGGTCAGAATATATCATTCACTGTAAGAGTGCGCATAATCAACGTAATTCAAGCGTGTGCAAACATTGTTCGAATTTTATTTCGGACAAAGACTTTGAAGGTCATGAACGCAAGTATCATGCATATCCTTGCTCTGTTATTTCATGTCCTGCTCGGTTTTGTAAGACAAAGCATGCGGCAGGACATAGTGACTACCATCGGGATCCAGCGCTTTCCAAGTCGTCACAGAAAGTAACGCCAGTTAACAAGTCTAAGAAATCGACACGGTTACAAGCATCGTTGTCTGCCACTGCCACCTCTTCTCGCCCATCTTCTGGAATATCTAAGTCAAGTGCAATTGCAGGCGCCTGTCGCAAATCAACTCGACTTGCCAGCTGTAGCACGTCAGCTACCGTTGTAACAGAGGACCCACCGCACAATTATTTGCCTTCATTTTCTTCAAGTGCTCGAGGACCCTTGAATCCGTTATCCTTCAGATCCCTGCTGACCGAATCATCAAGTATCCCTTCGACTTCTTCTGAAACAATCCCTGGAAGTGTCACTGAACTGCTGTCTCAAAATACTCGCTATAAAGTCCTAGGGTTTTGTTGGGTTTGTAAACAGCCCTTTCCCATGTGGGAGGACTTTTGTACACACTATAGTTTGAAGCATGGTGATGGTGATAGCAGTGTTGTCCGATGCCAGCTTTGCCTTGCTGTGTCGACGGCTAAGCACACGGAGGACCATGAAGATGCTGGCAACAAACATAAATGTCAACACTGCTCTGCAACTTTTCTAACACTTGTTAAGCTAGTTACACATCGGAAATTTTACCATCGTCTTTTTGATTAAACGGTTATCATTGCGTTTCTTAGAACATCTGCTAGGAATTTTCACTTTCCTTATCTGCGTTGTCGATAAACAGCATTTGTTTACTTGTTTCTATGTGTATTTATGTACTTATCTACTACAAGTAGCACTTTGTTAATTTAAAGTATTCATGCAATCATATTCTGTTTGGCACTTTTTAAATTGTGTTTTGTTTCCTTTCCTGTTAAATTAAAGAACATGTCTCAAATAACGATTATCGAACATATTGTTGAAATAATTAACAATATTTAATTATTAGTCAATCCTACCACTATTTTTAAATTTGTC